TATGAGCAGCATTTAGGACTAATAGATTACCAAAAGGTACCGATCAGACCCAAATTAGCAGAACTCTGTTATTAATCACTGTAATGCTTCACTCAGTTCCCTAATAAATGGCAGAGAGGAAGCACCTTTCCCAATTAACCATGTACCAATTAAGTGAAGTGGCTTATGGTTTAAAGATATTTCAAAGTAACAAATGATAATTTACAGGCTTACAAGGATCATTTCTGAAAGTCCTGCTTTGGCTGAAATAAAAACTCTGAGATGAGAAGTACTGCCTATTGTTGAAGTACAAACAGATTCTATGTTTTTGTTCAGTTCAGTTTCTAAATATTTCCTAAATTCCCTAAAAGCCATTCATGCATCATAAATTAAGAATATTGGCTGTTTGTAAACATGAGCTTGTGCAAAGCACGAGAGACAATTTCAACAAAGCACTTGGATTCTTTTTTTTCCCCTCAACTATTCTTGCTTTTTTGTTGTTTTCTTTTGTTTTTAACAGGATTAATCCCCCATCCAAAACAAGCAACAATACATTGCACATTTTAGCCAATGACTGATTCACGTAAAACTCATAAACAATCCTTGGAGCAAGGACTGGAATCCAGGTCCATCCAGCCCTCCTTCAGGGTCCCCACAACTACTAAGCTACAGAGAATACAAAGATTTGCTCAGCATGACTAGGGCAGAGAAAGAATGACAACCTCTCCAGAAAGATTCTGGTTCTTTATGCTTCCCCAGCTGTACAAAGGAGCTAGAATGGGAAAAGAGAATCTGCTCCAACATGTAGTTTTTAACATATTAAACATTCAAAATATATGTGCTGTGTTTCCTCACTGGTAGGTGAAATTACCTTGGCTATGTTCTGCATTAATGTTTTGGCAGATGAATCGTTTAAAAGGAATATACTGTATGGCTATGTTAATCAGTGGATCATAATTTGAAAGTAAAACCATTTTTTCCCCAATGTACTTTTGACCTGAATTTAAATTCCCAACACCCAAACTTTTTACTGGCTGTGCCTTTCCTCAGAAATATACATACTTTCTTTTCTCAGTCTAATTCCCCCAAAGACTGAATCAGAACACACGGAAAGGATTCAGAGCCAGAACATGAACTCTCGACACATTTGAACAAAAACTTCATGAGTTTTGAGAAGATCGAAATGAGCAGTGGAATTCAGCCAAGAGAGTGACAGACCTATCAGCATTCAGCGATCTTTGAAAGGATTTAGCTTACAGGAGACAGTGGAGAGAACAAACAGGATATATGGCAAACAGAAAAGACCATCATCAGCAGAGGCTTCTCAGGACACGTCTGGTCAATTTAAAATATTTAGAGAATCATATCATCCCTTAAAATAAATAGGGTAATTTTTTTAATTCTCTCATCATAATCATGGGGATTAACTAATCATTTCTGCCTGCAGCTACCTTTAAGGCCAGTCCAGTACAATATCAGTTAGCAGGGGGAAAGTTCTAGCCATGTGTCCTTAATCAAAGTATGAAAACCTGAAGCAGTTTTAGGTGAGAAAGTTTGTGGAAGACAGCAGTGGAGACCCACAGGCTAGGTACAGATATTCAAAAAGCCCAAGGCAGAATCTAAGGTACATGGTTTTCTGTAAGTGGAGTCATTTAGATCAATAGTGAACAGAACACACATTTACCCGTCGGGGGAGTAAATCTTAGACTGAGTTTTGCCATTTTTACTAGTCTATGTGTACTGAACATCTGTTCTGTTATGGGTATAGGCTGGTTTCCAATCATGTATAGGCTAAATACAGACAGTCAGAAAGCCCAAGGCTGAATCAAGTAATCTGTGACCGGTTTGTCTAAGCTACATAGATAAGTAAGCGAACAGACATTCACTTTTGATTCCGAAAGTGCAGTCACATGCCTGCAGTGGCCAAAGCCAGAAGCCAGAAGCCAGGGTGTGCTAGAACATGGCTCCCTGCTCAGTGAAGCAGATAGTTTGGGCCAAGGCTAGCCTACCCACCCTGCAGAAGGAGGTTTGCAGGGGAGGTGAAAAGCATCCTAGCATGCTGGGGGACTGAGAGTTAACTTGAATCTGGAGGAAATCTGGGACAGAAATTCAATACACTGATTTAACCTAAATCAGTTAAGTCAGATACTTCATCCATCCATTACATCCATCCAAGTTTATCTTAAACCAGTTCTGACTAATTTGAAAGTTGTTTATGTGCAGTGAACTTCTGTTGCATTACAGATTTGAACTGGTTTCTGATCACTTACGCCAATTTATCTGTAACTTCTGTCCCTAGCCATACTGGTAAAAATATAATATCTATACCTGGCCAAATATAAAAATCTGACATTTGACAATTATGTAACTGTAGTAGCTATTAGTGAAGAAATAATATTCCTATTAAATGCATTACACACAAGCTCCCTTCTTTTAGTCTCATCAGAAACACCATCCAGTGGCCCACCCAGTTACTACGGGAACAGAGATTTCTGAGTTTCTGAAACTGGAACAGTTGGTTTCTATATAAATCTGGCCTGAACCACTGAAGTGTTCCAGCTAAGACTAGTATAGAACTACTTAAATGATTAAATAATAATAATAATAATAATAATAATAATAATAATAAAAACAAGGATAAAAGTGGGGAAAGGAGGAACCACAAAGGCCATGGGAAAGTATATTGTTACTGGAAGGAAAGAGTGTGGTGAATCAGCCAGGTGGCTGAATCAAGAAGAGAGTGGTATTTAGCAGTGTTAGTCTGAAGTCTGGCAGAAGGCAGAGTAGATTTGCACCTTCTACACCAGGGACAGACATTCCAGCCCACCAGGTCATTTCATCCATCCCACAGGCTGGTGCCCACAAATTGTATCCAGCCTGGCCTGCAGCTGCCCCTGCTGTGCTCCACCCACTTCTACCAGGGCAGTGTGCTGCACTCTCATCCTTGCCCATGGGAGACCCCAGTGTGATGGCCCCATGTAATGCCAATGACTTACCTGCCCCATTCCCTGCCATGACGTGCAGTCCCTGGGACTCAGCTGGAGCCAAACACTGCTGTGGGGGCTCTGTCTGCCATGGCCAAAAGCACCCTGAGGCCTACTGCCTGCTGCTGTTGCTTCTGCCACCAGCAATGGGAACTGCCACCCTCCATACCCACCCACACACAAACCCCCACTCAATCTACCCTCTCCCCACATCCCCCACACACTTCCCCATACCCCCCCCACACAATATACAAGATTAAGACTTTATTTTGAGGTATTATGCAGTTGTTTCTATATACACTATGCCAACTTCCACAATGTTTTTTAAAATAAAATTAAAGTATGTTATAGTAGATGTTTTATTTTTAGTATATGATTTGGTTTTTTTTCCAGTTCCAAGATTGCAAACCACCCTCCCAGTAGAAGAACTTCCATGAACAAGAGGAGGGACTTCTGGTGGCAAAGGTCAGAGGGTTAGGGGTGAGACTTCTGGCACCAAGATGGTGACCGGGGCAGGCATCTATCAAGGGGCAAGGGCTACCCTTGCAGGCCCTTGACAGATCACCAAAACTCATTAAGTGGCCCTCCAGCTGAATTAATTGACCACCCCTGTTATATACTAACTAAACCAGAGATGCCTAAACTTTCACTGCAAATCTTCTCTGCCTTCTGCCTGAATCAAGAAAGACATTTTAAAAAATGTACTGTTTGGATATTTATTTCAGAAGAGCAGCAGCTATTTCTATATGATTTCCAAAAACAGAAGTTTGTCTTATTTTGTTCCTAAAAGGTAAAAAACGAAATCCTTTGACATAAAGTTCTACTCAATCTCATAAAATCCTTCATTGGATCATTATCTGAGTATAGTTAATTTTACAGGCCAGTGGCTGTTGTATACATTTGCAAACTGAAGGAAAAAGTTATATGGCCCCCCATTGAAAAAGAAGGAAGTAACCAATTACACATTTTTTTCAAAATAAAATTGTGGAAATGAATAGGAATACCAACCAATATCAGCATAGCATTGTGCCAAGTGGCAGATGCAATTAATAAGAATGTCCCCATCCCAAAGAGCTTATAAAGTAGATAAGAAAAAGAATAGAACAGGAAACTGATAAGTAGCAGTAACTGACTATCAAGTCACATCTGGGGCAAGAATTCATGGTACCCTCTCAGGTGTCAAATTCATTAAGTTACACTACCTCCTAAAAATTAGCAGTTTAAAGGCTTGGGGCAAATGTCACTGTTCATTCTCCTAGGCTAGATGGAACATCTGTGGAAAGATGATTCAGGGATCAGTAAGGGAATATTGACTCTGGCTTAGGATTTTACCTTGTTAGAAGTTGTTTGAAAATAGGTAGGTCTGAAGCAAAGGGGGAAAAATCATCATCTTCCTTGCTGTTTGAATTGTATAAATAATTTATAAAATAATATGTAGATTTTCAAAGGAAACAGACAAATGCGTCAACATTGCCAAACAGGGTACTTATGATTTATGTCACCAGGATTCTCTAACAAAATAACATCGTCTTATGTGACGACTTATCTATTATTCTGTTTATTCATTTTTCTTTGAATAACACATTGTGCAAAGAGTGTTGAGAAGGTCAGAAGGCCCAATCTTAACATTTATTGTTCTGAAATGGGTTCATTTTGTAAACATATAATACAGAAGTATAGAGAGAATCACAGAATTACAGAAAAGTAGGGTTGAAAGGAACCTCAGAAGGTCATCTAGTCTGACCCCCTGTTCAAAGAGGACAATCCCCAACTATCTAATCCCAGCCGGGGCTCTGCCTAGCTAGGTCTTAAAAACCTCTAAAGATGGAGATTCCAAAACCTCTCTCTCAGTAACCTGTTCCAGTGCTTTAAATACCCTCCTAGTAAAAGTTTTTCCTCATTTCTAACCTAAACTTCCCTTACTGCAACTGGAAACTATTGTTCCTTGTTCTGTCATCTGCCACCACTGAGAACAATGTAGCTCCATCCTCTTTGGAACCTCCCTTCTTCAGGTAGTTGAAGGCTGTTAATAAATCCCCCATTAGAAAAGACAAGACAAGACTAAATAAGCCATTTGTTCAGCCTCTCCTCATAAAACATGTTTCCCAACCCTCTAACAATTTTCACTGCCTTCCACTGGACACTCTCCCACTCTTTCTGTAGTAGAGGATTCAATACTGGACACAGTACTCCAGTTGTGGGCGCCACACTTCAAGAGGGATGTGGACAGCATCGAGAGGGTCCAGAGGAGGGCCACTCGCATGATCAGGGGACAGCAGGGCAGGCCCTATGAGGAGAGGCTATGGGACCCGAACCTGTTCAGCCTCCAAAAGAGAAGGCTGAGGGGGGATCTAGTGGCCTGTTATAAACTAGTCAGGGGGGACCAGCAGGCATTGCAGGAGTCCCTGTTCCCCTGAGCACTGCCAGGAGTCACCAGGAATAACAGTCACAAGCTGGCAGAGGGTAGATTTAGGCTAGATATCAGGAGGTGCTACTTCATGGTCAGGGTGGCTAGGATCTGGAACCAACTTCCAAGAGAAGTGGTGCAGGCTCCTACCCTGGGGGTTTTTAAGAGGAAGTTAGATGAACACCTTGCTGGGGTCGTTTGACCCCAGTACTCTTTTCTGCCATGGCAGGGGGTCGAACTAGATGATCTGCTCAGGTCCCTTCCGACCCTACCAACTATGAAACTATAATATTTCACACTTCTAACACATCATCGAATGTTATTATTGCTAACCAATTTCAGGCAACTGAAATATAATGGTTTTCTCTAGCATCCACGCAAATGTTGTCAGGGTAGGTAGAAATTGAAAGGAAGGGTCATTGTTCCCATCAGGATATACACAACAAGCAAGACCAAATTAATGAAACTTTAAGCCTTCATGGAGCCAGATTTCCAGGGAATGGAGGAAGGACCTACTAGAACCACTGCTGAGGTACAAGGCCTCTTCAAGGATCAGTACTGTTAGAGGCTTTTCTGTATGGGCAAGCCTTCGGTCTGTCATCAGACGGTACACTTGGAATTCTCGGTATGAAAATTGTAGATACCCTCACGTAATGTCTCCTCTTAAGGCTTATAATGCAAGGAGAGACTATTTAGAATATATTTATTTAGCATAGTAGATATTTAGTATCAGTTTCTCCACGGTTTTTACCTCACAAGTCTCAGAACTTTTAGTATTTACAGCAGTGGCTAGTGACCTTTGAAGTGTGTGGGCAAAACTGACAAGGGTACTGTACTTATAGCATCATGTTATCTGACTCAAAACAGCCTAGTGAAACCTAGATTAAGGAGCTCTGCTAGTGACTAAAGCATCCAGTAATGAAACCTAACCTGAACTGGCAGGAAGGGAAGGACTCTGCATAAAAATTGGGCAGTATTTGCATTCCACTGGGTCAAGGAAGTATTTAGATTCATCTTAGATAGAATGTGCAAAACATTTTTTTCCTGACATCTTAATAATGATGAGCAGTAAAAAACCTATATAACCAATAAAAGTACATAATGGCAATTCTTTCAGTTAAGTCCAGAATGCAGTTAACTGACATATCCTATCTGTAGTTTTCCTAAAGGCAAAAAAATGAGAGCGAGACAGAGATCATGGAGAAGTTTATATTTGCCTAGCAGTGGTAAAATGAAAACAGTTTTCTTCAGGAGAAACATACAATAAGCAAATCACTGGTTGTAAGGGGAGACTATCCAACTCATTTAGAACTTACTGTTAATTTTATTACAGGGCATTTTACATTTTTATCCTTAATTTCATGTATTTTTAATATATTTTCTTCCTGTTTGTCACACTGACCACAGTACCTTTCATATGCCTTCAGTAACTTTTATTTTCTTTCCAACCACACTAGTTTCTTATCTTCATTTTATGTAGGTGGGCCTTACCTCCTAGGTCTGAAATTCTACCACAATGTTGCTTTGACACTGCCTTTGCTCTGCCAGTGATACTAACTTCTTTTTTAAGCATCTTTATTTCTCCAGGGTTCCTTTCAGGCATGATGAAACAACTTCTTGTCAAATTCTGTAGCTACCACCTTTTTCTCACTCATGTTCTGTCTTAGGAATTATCTTGGCTCCTATTGTCTGCTGACTTAAAAAATGGTTAGGAGAAATATGGAAGGATATTTTTCACTGAGGCTAGACTTCTTTAGTGAAAAATATCCCTCCATATTTCTTCCTATGCTTTTGACTGTTCCTCCTTTTGCACCTGGTTAGGTACAAATAGTCATGACTGAGTCCCAGTGTTAGGGTTTAGGGAAGGATGTTATCAGTGCACAAGCACAAGCTTTGTATGATCCTAAAAATCATTGTGGGACTGTGATCCATGACTAGGACCTCTGGAAAAAAAATAGTACAAATCTGTTACATCCAGTTATCTCCCTTCTTGTAGTTAATTTGTAAACTTCTTGGGACAGGGACCATGCCAATTTGTTCAGTGTTTAGGTCAGGTAGGTTTTTTCATCACTACATACTGGGGCCTGGAGTCCTTCTGCAATATAATCAATTAGAACATTTCTTTTGAAAGTGTTTGCATTCAAAATTTATCATAGGGAAAGAGTTTATAGTCAGACACATTCAGAAATCTTATTTTATGCTCTAATAGGATTGTTTGGCCATGTCCACACAAGCATGGATGTTTGTTTCCCCAGGGACAAGAAGCAGCAGCACCCCTTGTACCCAAGAAACACTTATGCCATGCAACCTCTGGCACATGGCAGGTTACCCTGGGTGGGGTAGGGGAGGCTGGGGCCAGCAACTGTGCTGGGCACAGAAGCCTTACCTGGGGCCCTGGGGGCCTCACGTCACTGCAGCTATAGTGATCCTGCCACTCGGAGACTGGTCAACACCTGGAGTGTAGCTCTGGCTGGCCAGGCTCTGGTTTTGGATGGTGCACACTGTCTGTACATGCACCGCCCTGCTTTTTTTTTATGCAGGTTTTATTGACCCCAAGATCTCCCAGAGTCTCCCAGAGCAGCACATGCTGCTACCTTGCAGTGCAGAGAACATCTGAATGTGCAGTGTGTGGCTCTGCAGATGGGTCTGCGGTGCCGCAGACCCATCTGCAGCGCCACACATCTGCGGTGCCACATACCACATGGCCAGGATCATCTGAACATGGCCTTGGAAGGTAAGGAAGATTGTACTCTTAAGAAAAACAGTAATGTCTCATCCCAAGGCTCTCCTGTAGTGATAAAGCAAGTTGACTTAAGATTTGTCCTGATGTGCAGATAGTGGGGATGGGTTAAGAGTTTATATTTACAGAAATACTAAACTTTGGTCTAAGTCTTTTCTTCTTGAATGGTGACTTGCATGGATTGAGAACACAGTTTCAGAAGGGGAAAAAATAACTAAACCAGTAAGAGTCATGCAGAACTGTATTCATGAGCACTCATAAATGTTCATTAAATATGTATGCCAATAATGATTGTGCCTCTGCAGAGTGTGGTTGCACTCCAGCAACTAGTTCCTTTAAGGCATGAAAAGAAAGGGTCCTCTTAGGGTTCCACAAACATGATGATGTCAACATGGAAACAGAAAACAATGCAAAGATGTTCTCCAAGGGCTTGATTCTTAAGAATATTATTATAAGCTACTCGTA